AAAAAAAAAAAAAAAAATATAAAACAAAAAAAAAAATATATATATTATACCAAAAAAAAAAAAAAAAAAAAAAAAATTAAATTTAAAATATGATAAGCACAATGTCTACAGTACTAGGATTGTTGAAAAAAAATAAAATTGAAGTTTGTTTTTTAGATTTATCTTTTTTATATCACCATTTTTTGAGCTTTTTCTATAATACAATTAACCTATTCTTATCAAATCCTTTTTTAATGTTGAAGCCCTCTTGGTATCTTATAACTTTCTCTAACGCCTCAACAGCCTCTATTATAGTTATCAGTAGTGGTAGTTCTTCTTCATCATTATCCTCATCATCAGCTTCATTATCACAAAATTCATCTATTACTATTTCGATAATACTTTCATCTATTAGTACGTCCTCTGTCATGGCTGGTTGGTCAATCATTTGGATATATTCTTCGATATTATTTGATAATTCTTGAACTACTAGGTTATTTTTAGCTAAAAGATCTTTAAATATTATAGCAGTATCATTATCAATATTAATAATCTCGTTATGAAGTTCATTATCTAATTTACATTCCTCTGGCTCACCTGTTTCTAGCATAATGTTGGTAGCTTTCTAGCAATTCTTTATAGTGTTTTCACTGACTTCTCCCTAAGTATCAGAGATATAATCAATAATTTGTTTCAAGGAAAGTTTTCTATATTATGTAAAACTGTTAGTATCTAATAATTTAAAATGGTATTAAAAGTTTTTATTTATAATTTATTACAAAATTTTATAATACAAAAACAATTGTTCACAAAAATTTATTGCCGTAGCTAATGCTGAAATTTGAATCTATTTTGATATAAAGTTTTAAAATTTTTTTTGAAATGTTTTGTTTTAGACTTGGTTAGGATTTTGAATTAGAATTTATAATTAAAGTGTATATCTGGATTTTAGCAGAGCTTATATTTTTGAGACCCCAAATTTTAGCATCATCTGCGATATTTATTTTTGTTGATTCTTTTTTATTACACCTAACTCAAATGATTAAAATTACAATAAAACCTCTATAAGTATGAACATATACTTGAGATTGTTGTACATCAAGTTAAAATATGCATTAGATCAAAATAACTATAATGCTACTAACATCTACTCTATTCTAATATAAGATTTTACCCTAATCCTAATAAAATTTAATATTTAAATTTTGATCTGACAAAATTTTAGTTTGATATATGATATATGTCCAAGTTTGAATATTCATTTAGAGTATATACACCTATAGAGATTTTACTATAAATTCTTACCTCTAATTCTTATTTTTCTCAAATTGGTCAAGCAAGTAATGACAATATAGATTTTTATATTTTGATTTAAAACTTTTAATTATGTCTGCATCTATCAGCTAAAGATAAGCAGTTGTATTGAATAAAAGGAAATGTACAATGATATTTGTAAGACAAAAATTTTCTGAATTTTGTCTTGATTGGCTTAAACGGATAGAATTAGATCTTTGAAATCCTTATAGTCTTCTTCGAGATCTTTCTCAGGGCCTTCCTTGGAACCTTTCTTGTGGTTCTATCTGGGGTTCTTGTTGATCTTTAATTTCTTCTGTAGAATCTTTTCTGATGATAATTCCTCAATATTATCTTGAACTTCAGTTATATTATTTGTTTCTGGAGTTATATGAAAAGCTGTATTGTCAACAGAAGCAGGATCTTCT